AAAAGGAGCAGATAGGTTTTGGTCTTTGAGGAAGTCACAGAGAAGAAAACCCAGAGCAGTAAACTGCTGATGACAACACAGGGTTGTGCATTCAGGTTTTCTAGGTAAGAAGTGGGAATTTAGAGCTGAGGTCACGGCCTGAAAGATTTGGGGAGAACTTTATGAAAAGAAAACATTTGTGTGGATGCGGAAGCAAGTAAAACAGAGAAGCAAACTGCTATGGTATATTCCTGGGATGGCAGAAGTGTTGGTTGGCGAAGGCACAGATTCTGGGGCTCTGTTTGGGAGGTGTCGGAGGAGAATGATGGGAGGCGGCATTGGAAAGGTGGGCTAGTGCCACGGTGGAAAGAACTTCGACTGCGTGTAGTGTGCCACACTCATGATTGTGAAAGACATCCTGTTGGCAATGAGCATTACTGAAAGGGTTTTGAATGCGTATGGGACATGAGTGGGTTTGTATTTTAGAAAGATGACTGTAGTTTTTGAATGGAGGCCCATCATCATCATTGTCATCATTATCATCACTTACTAAGTATTAGGTCTTGTGCTGGGTGCTTTATACATATTACACATTTCTCACCACAGCCTTGTGATGTTCGTAGTGTTACTTACTGCCTTTGCCATTTCACAGATGAGGAACTTGAGGTGCAGAGAGGCTAAGTAACGAGTGACTAAGGGATGGAGCTGGTATTTGAAGCAAAGCCGATTCCACGCTCTTAGCCCCTGTGTGTGATTTCACGCTCTTAGCACCCCATGCTGGGTGCTAAGCATATAGAAATAAACAGGTCAGTTAAGGTCCTTGTTGTCAGGGTGCTCATTCTCCTGGATGAGACAGAAAAAAAGCAAACAAATGAATAAGAACTTCAGACAGTGACAAGTCCCAAAAGAAAATAATACAGAGTAAAGTGACAGAGAGTAAAGGGGGGGGGTAGTGCCCCTCAGGGAGCATGTCTGCTTCGGTTCGGGTGGTCAGGGACAGTCTTTGCCAGGTGGCTGGAGTATGTGAAAGGGAAGGAGTGCGATAGGAGGCTGAGGTCAAGGAGGTGGGCAGGTGCCAGGACAGGTATGGATGTGTAGGCAGTTCTGCAGAATTCAGCTTATTCTCAGGGCATTGAGAATCCACTGGATGATTTATGGCAGGGAGTGGTAAGATGTGAGTTATATTCCATGGAAAAGGAACTGCAGCGGGGCCAGAGGGAAACAGGCATAACAAGGAAGTGGTGCAGGTGAGCAGATGAACGGGGATGCCAGCGGTTGATGAATGGGTCAGAGGCGGGAGAGTTAGGAGGCATTTTTGTAAGTAGAGATGGTATATCATGCTGATCAGGAGAGTGGCCAAGGACCATGCTTAGGTGTCAGGTTTACTCAAGTGAGGGGACCTGAGCCCCAAAGCTGCCATCTAGGGTAGTAGGGGAGGGTCTCACGATGAGTCCGGTGTGGGGCCTGCAGAGGGTGAGGAGCCTGAAGCCCGTGAGAGGGAGCAGGGCTGAAGATTTGTGACTCTCCAGTACACTCATAAAAATGTCCTTACTGCTAAGTTCCTGACTGAGATCAAAGGTCACTTTTATGTGTGTGAGTCACAGTGTGTCGTGATCCTCTGTGTGACTTACCAACATCCATCTCCCAACAACTCGGCGGATTTCGGGGCTGCTGTCAGGAAAACCTCCCATGACGGCACCTCCGCATCAGCAGGCATGTCCGTGTTGGGAGGTTACACACTTCAAGGCACTCCGTTTCCTTAAGCGCTTCATCCCCTCACAAAAGCAGGACACAGGGACCTTTTCAGTTTGTCATCCTAATAAACATGCCTGTAAGTAAACACACTTGGTCTTTATTTCCTGAATTGCACCACCTTTTAAATTTCTGGTGAACTCCTTTATGATATACACACACGGGGAGAAGGAAGGCTGGTATCAGGACTGCCACCGACATCAATGCTTTCATGGCAGGAAGTGCCCTGGCTGAGCGTGCGGGCAGAGGACTCCGGGTTTAGGTAGAACGGCAGACTTTGGGGACCTCCTACAGTTGCATCGGGACATTTTTTCCAGGGTGTGGTGATAGTGCACGAGCCGGCGCTGAAAACTACTCTCAACTGGATTTCTTTCAAATAAAAGTAGTGCTGGTTTGCCCCTTGAGGACAGCTGATATTGGCTATAGTTTCGTAGGTGTATGTGACCCAACGGGGGTGACCCCTGGGTGCTGCATCACTTGGACATATATGTTCCCATTCCAACATGCCAGGGCGGGTCTCACAGCATGTAAACTCACGGGGCACATGCGAGCTTAGCCTGGCTCCTGCTGGCTGGACGTGTTGCCTCTTTCTCTTGGGGATCTTACGCTTCCAGTTTAAACCTCATGTTTTATTTATTGTAAGCTATAGGATATGCAGGTAGTAGCAGAGACTTATACCCAGTTAAATAAGGTGTAAATATATGTGTTCATTTAAATGAGCCTGGTTGAGAAAGTAGATGCTCAATAAAATTTGAATAATGATGATGGCAAGCAGGTTTCTTAAGTCAGAGTTATGGTTTGGGGGCTAAGTCAGTAGTTAACAAAAAACACACACCATCTGCTGTCGGATTTTGCTGGCACAGCTCATTTTACATGGACGGTCTTTAATGGAAATGGAACTTTCTTAAGTACAAAGCTAAATGGTGCTGAGTCGTGTTTCCAGTTCCTCAGCCAGCTTCTATCAGGCCTAAAATGTTGTCATGCTTTGGCTGCCACCTCCAAAGCTCAGGGACTAATTTCCCCCCTTGGTAATCAGCTGCTGTGATTAAAGGGAGTGAGTGAAAAGTCTGAACAGTGGCTCATGAAATAATCTGACTTTTAAAAGGCAGTAAGAGTTTCATAGTTAGGGTCCAGTCCCGAGACAAGAGCCATACCCATTATTTGAACGGAGTGAATTTTATACAGAGACTTTTAAACTAGGTTGTTAGCTAGGTAACTAACTAAAAAGATAAAAAAGAGAACCCTGAGATTATCATAAATGTAGGAAATGCAGAAAGCCCTAAGAGCGAGAGTTTCTTTAAAGGGAAGAGGGAAGGAATTAAAACTTAGGAATTTAGCTAGCGCCGCGGTCAGCAAACTGCGGCTCGTGAGCCACATGCGGCTCTTTGGCCCCTTGAGTGTGGCTCTTCCTAAGCCTTAGGAGTACCCTAATTAAGTTAATAACAATGTACCTACCTATATAGTTTAAGTTTAAAAAAT